CCATATACCATACTCTATTCCTTAGTAGAGGCATGGGTATTAGGCAAGGTGCCAATGTGCCTGTCTCCACTCAGTGATGTTTTTGTGATAGAGGACAAAAGCAGGGGTTAATGCTCTGATTGGCTAAGGGCTGTAGATCAGCAGTATTTTGTATGTGCAGCTAAACTATCTTCCTGTTCTTCCTTTCTCATTATTCAGGTTAATAGTCACTTGTCAGACTAAGTTCCCCCAGAATATAAATGCCTGAAGTAGAGGAAGGCAGAAGAAAACATTTAAGACTTCCAAGTGGAGGTGACTTCTGTTGCTCTTTGAGCTCAGACTGATTTTGGCAGGAGTGAAATGAAGAGAAGGCTTGCCCTGGAAAAATGCAATGCAGCTGCCAGCCCCTGTAATTAGCCAAAAGGCCTGTGGAGTGTAGAAGGAGGTCAGAACATGGCTCCTGCCACAGCGCTGCTCAATCCTGGATACTGCCAGCAGGAATGTAAAGCCTAGTGAAGGCCTGGACATTGCTGCTAATCACATGGAAAGGCCAGAGCCCTTCTGGGACTAATGAGTCTGCTTATGAACAGGATGCACCATGCAGAGGCTGAGCAAACATCCCCTTTAGCATGATGTTATAAAGTCTTTGGAGCAGGAAATGTTTAATTGCTTGTCTATATGCAGAAGACAGATTCTGTCCTTACTAAGTGCCTCCAAGCATGTTTGGAGGTAATAATTATTCAGAGTAAGTTACAACCTTGATCCTGGATAGCAAGTGAACTTCTGAAATGTACGATAGTGGAATTAATTGCTTGTTTTTGTGCAGTATAATTGCAGAGGAAAGGATTGCAGGCAAGATTTCTCTAGCAACCTTTGGGTCAGTCACTCTATTACAGCTTTTTATACATAAATTCCAGACCTGCCAACAGCATATGTGCAAAATATTTTCTGCTGATAATGGAAATTCAACATGTTTTCTTATGAAGACTTTTATTTTTTTTTTTTTTTTTTAGTATTTTTCATACTCTTTCTCTTTTGTCATCTAAGGAAGGTAATCAAGGAAGCAGACAACAAAAAACATGTTTGTCAGGCTTTGTACTACAAATACTACTTCCTTCTTGATATTTAAAAGGAAAACCACATTTACTTTTTCCTAAAGCAACACATCCATTGATACAGGCTGGGTTAGGGATGTCAAGATCAAGTACGTGACTCTCCGGAGTCATGCAGAGATGGGTGCGGCCTTGATAACAGAGGCTATATATTAAGAGAACAAAACAAAAACCTTTCCACAGCAGGATTCCTTATTTCTTTCCTCAGTGGGTAGCAGCACAGCAGTCTGTATGCTCCCAGCAAAACTGGATTCAGAACTAGTCCAGGTCCAAGTTTTAGCCCTTTTTAGACATTAATATTTTCTCTATAAAGATAAAAGTCAAGCTAGCGTGCAGGTAATAGAGAAGGTATGTCAGCCTGCTTTACTTGAGCTGTGGAACTGAGGCACCTTGATAACAGTTCCACAGACTTTATTTCCTCCATCCCTGTGAGCTGTTCAAGCAGTGGGGAAGTTTGATTATTCCAAACCAGCTTGACTTGGGGAATTTTTCATTTTCTCATTAGCTGATAGACTTGCACACAGTGGGAAATTAGAACTTAAAAATAGTGATGCTCCTTGAGGGGTTTTTCCCATTTTCTGTGTTGTATTTCAGAAGCATTTTGGGTAACTTATCTAACTCATGGGTGCCATGGAGTATTTTATTTCTCTGTGCATGAATGAATTTCATGTTCATGATGCCTCAGTGAGGCAGCTGAGAAGGAAGAAAAAAAAAAAAAAAAAAAAAAAGCATGCAGGAGAAGATGCAAAAGTGTACTAATCTGAATTAAGATAATCCCTTTGCAGAATATTATGGCTTTAGAATATTTTTGTTGACATGTATTAAACTATGGGCTATGATATGGATTACTGTTGGTTTTGGAAATAGTCTTCATTCACTCATTTCAAAGTGTCTCTGGAAGAACCTTCAACATTTTTTCCTTGTCTTCACAACTTTGCTGTGATATCTGACAGGGATGCCAGATGGCCCAATGAGATAAATGTCAAACAAGTAAAGTGTCCCTGCATCCAGCCCTTTGATAGTCTCTGTGGTGACAGCTCGCTGGAGATTTATGTCATAGAAATACTTGCACAGCACTTTCTCTGACTTGTGCCGAGATTCAGGTCCAGAGCACGTGTCTGTATTTCTCAGTTCCATCCATACTTGATCTTCTTCAATTCTTTTCTTGTACACACAGTACTTGCTCTGCTCTTGTGTTCCTAGCCAGGCAATGGTGACAGAGTTGCAAGTCCTCAGTTTACTGAAAGACTTGATTTTTAAGCTCTCTGGAAGAAGTGGGAATAAGGGCTTGTGGAAATGGGGGGAGACCTGCACTTTCACAGAAGAGTTGGATTCCTCTGTGGACCTTAGCTGCACCAGGTACATGTCCAATGGCTTTCCCTTCAGTGACAAATACCTCAATCCCAGAATGTTTTCTGATGCCACTATTTTACCATTTTTTGTTATGTGAACCTGTACTTGACCACGGCACAACTGAAAGGCAAATTGTACTTTCTTGTGCCTTGCTTGGTACTGCAAACTATACAATTTTTGTTTTTTCCCATCCAGTACAACCTGAACTGCCTTCCCATCTTTCAGCTTCATCACTTTAGGTTCAGGTTCTTCTAGAGTTCTTGCAAATGTCCCAGTGTAAGCAGCACTGGCATTTGTGAGGAGATTAACAACAAAGACATCAAAATAGTATTGAGTGCTGGGACTGAGATTGGGCACTGTATAGGTGTTCTTGGTACCCATACATATCTGCCTGACTTCTCCACTGCTCACTTTGTTGATGATGCTCAGTTCACTGTCTGATAATATCATTACCTGCTGTGGTTCAAGAAGGTATGGAGAGAGAGACAAAGCTAATGTTGGTGGCACTTTCATCCCAGAGAATCTGATTGCTGTCTCAGCAGCACACAAGCTCTTATAATTGTGCTTTTCATTAACTAGAAGACAGTACTGGATGCTTTCTCTGTGTTGCAAGGCAGAGGGACTGTGTTTCCATGTCAGAGTCACTGTTGTATGGCCAACGCCGATAACATCTATGCGTGGATCCAGTGGAAGTTCTGGATAGAGGTGCCCAGACGTTGTGTCAGTTGTTAAGTACACAGTGATGTGTGTGTCACGCTCGGTGGATAAGAACTCTAGCATATAAAGGGCAGACTGAGAAGACATACCCATGTAAGTCTCTACAGAATTTCCCTTGTAGTTGAAAATGGTGGATGTCATGCTTGTAGCCTTCTGGAATTTTGAGACATCTTGTGTATTGAGATCACCTGCAAGAAGAAGCAGAACTGCAACATCTGTTTTAATGTATGTTGAACATTGCTTGGGTTTTGTTGTTCATATGTTAGGGAACATCCTGCTTTTTTCCTCCCTGAAAATAATCATAACTACAAATGCTTTTTGCTACTGGTAATTTATTGAAGTAAAATTTCAGTGACTTTTTAACAGTGCTTATTGTGATTTTCATAAAGGCTATCATTATAAAAACAACTTGCAAAAGTCTTGAACTTTATGGTGCCTTATGTGCCTACAGTTTTCATCTCCCATAGATTTCTCTTTAGACATTTTACTTCAAGGAGATTCATTTTCCATGAAAGGAGTTTTCTTTATATTAGACTTTTGCTGCTTTTTTTTTTTTTATGAAGAGAGAAAGCTTACTACTGTAAAGGAATTTTATTTAACTCCTTAGTTGGGTATGCCTGTCTGACAGGAACTTGCTAGTGGGACCTCTCGAATTTCCAATTTTTGGGGGGGAATTCCAGAAATTATTAAAAATAATGGAATTTCCTCTTAGGCTAAACTTTGCTTAATGCCTACTGTTGTGATAGGTGACTTTAAAAAAAAAAAAAAAGGCTGTATCTTCAGCACATCAATTAGAAACAATCCAGAAAGTGACTGGTTGAAATGGCTTAAGCCATGGAGAAGGAGCTGAGACAGCTCTTCAGTCAGCATGGGCTGATTGGAAAGCCTGCCTTGTTTAATGCAGGGAGAAGAGGGATTTTAGACACTGCATGGAGATCAAGGGGTGCAAGCAACATTTTCCAGTGTGAAAATGTTGCTACTATCAGTTTAGATTCTTTGCAGGAGACAAATTTGCAGGGAGAAAATTGGATAAGTGCAAAGAGTTTGTGAAGCAATTCATGTTGTTCTCAGATACTTTTGAGTTTTTGACTTGTATAGATGTAATTTTTAATCTACTTTGGCAAAATCCAGTGAACTGCAAATTTCACCTGTGACAAATTCCTCTGATGCCTGTTTATAGAAGGAGCAAGTATGATATTTAAGCCTGTAAAGAACTTCGTGTAACAATACTTCTTGGATAATGTGTAATACTTGTAACTTATACTTTCTACAGCTCTTCTCAGGTAGGCTGAAGATCTTACCTTGTGCTGCTTTCCCAAGCAAACGTGCTGAAGCTTTGTGCACAAGTATGCTCCACTCAATGGGGACATCACAAGGGGTCACAGTTATTGTGAAAGGTACAAGGGCTGTGTCTTCTTCCAAAACGAAGTAATACCTGTAGATGTGGGTATGAATCCAAGGAGAAACATGAAGAAATTCAGGTCTGTTTGACATTCACAGGAAGTGTACCTTTCTTGATGTGGACATTTCAATGTGGATAGAAATGACTGCTCACTTTTGAGATGCATCAGTGCAACAAAATAAGGAATGTCTGGAACTTCCATCTGCAGGAAGAACATGTATTGTTCTTTTTTTCTAATCCTTCAGTTGTTCCTGGAGGTTTTGTCCACTTAGCACAGGCAATATTTTTCCCTGGTGAATTTCAGTACGTTTCAGGTGAATATTGCATCTCAGTACTTACGTGCTTGTTTTGGATGATGAATGTGGTAAACTGATTACCTTCTAGATAACCACTTGTTGGCTAACTCTTGGGTACATTTTTTTTTTTTTTTCCCCTAGAATTTCCTGACTGGAGTTCCACAGTGACTCCTAGAGAGCAAGCTCTCTCTTACCTTCTTGCATGTTTCGGTCTCCATCTGTGTAAGATGAAGATACAACGATTCTGATCAACCCTGAAGATTGTCTGTCACTGGCAATTTCAGGTAACTCTGTTCTAACCAGTTTGCTTGGATGACAAAAGCTGTGGTGTGTTAGTAGTACAAAGGAGCATCAATCTACTCAGTAAATCTTTTATTCTTATTTACAGTGAAGTCTTGCTTCCTGTACCACCCATTTTCTTTCTGTTGTTTCTGTAAACAGTAAACTGTGGCTGTATACAGCCACAGGAGATGTTTGGATGCTGGTAGCTCACTCTGCAGTTAAATGTAGACAACTTATTTTTGTTTGTTTGTTGAAAAGAAAACCTATTTATTATGAACAGATTACATCAGCATAAAGGTCTGCATTAATTTCAGGGATGTGGCTATTTGTTTGGAGTTGACCTTCACTGGAATCAGCTTCGCATTCTCAAGTCTTTTATAAGCCAAATCTTTTCATCTTCTGGTTTCCTGTCTGCATGGTTGTAGGCTTCCTAAGGTTCTTACTTGATCATGTGAAACTGAAGGGTTTTGGTTTGTTTGTTTGCCTGCTAATAGGAATTTTCCTATTATGTCACAGAACAGCGAAATGTACTGTTCTTTTAAATCTAAATGCCTATTTTCCTTTAAAAGGAAGAGCTAGTTTTGCTTTTTTTTGTAAGCATGTCACATTATATAATATGCCATGTTTCAGTTTCTACGCAATGAGTTTTGAGAGAACAGAAGTTGTGAAGCAGGGGATGAACCAGATGGCTCAATATTCATCAAAATCTGTATGTGCTGTTCCACTGGTCAAAGGATTCTGATTAAACCACCTGAAGTTCATCTCTTCCTGAACAGGCTAATTACTTTGCCTTTCCTGTTTGAGATTATCAGCTGTAATATCTACATTGTGTGTATGTTCAGATATGGTGGAAAACTGCAAGTATTTTGAGGATACGAAGAAACTAACTTCCACATGACACTCATATTTGATCTTAACAGGCTTATAGTATTGTTCAACTAAGACATCTCTAGTATGCAGGATGCTAATAGATGCTTTATTATAAGAGAATTCTGCATGCATTTTACTGATTTTTGGGGTCACTATTGTGCTAGATAAAATTCTTGTCTTTTACAGTTGCTGTGGGGAGGCTGATGTTTCTGTGGTTCAGAAGCCAGACTGATTATGCAGCAACTGATTGCTGTTGGAACCTGCCAGTTCTGTAACCATCACAGAAAGCTGCCTAGAAAGAGGGGGGTCATTCTAGATTCTGGGCAAAACAACAGTGTACACTGGAAGGCACCTGTACTTCACTGGTGTGTCAGTAAATTCAGTAGACATGTCAGAGCTATGCAGGCACACAGCAGTTCACTACTTGGATTGTTAGTGTGTGGCTGCTGGTGTTGCAGGAAAGTACATGAGAAAAGAATTGACTTTGTGGCTGATCTGTGCTTACCTTTTAGGGATATCCTTCAGCAGATGAACTGTAGTTTCCTTACCATCAGCAAGAATCAGGGAATGGTAGAAGTTGAAGAGACCACTCTTGAAGCTCTGTTGGGAACTGGTAGTGGGTGCTTTAAGGGAATGACACAGGCCAGCAGCCGTGAGAAGGCAGAGAGGCAGATAAAACCAGACACAGGACATCTTCAGTACTGTGAAGAGAAGTGGAAGTTGTTTTAAAGGAGAAAATGATCAATGATGCTCCTTTTATTCCTCTAGTGATATTTACTGTTACAGCAAGCCAAGCATTTGAGCAACAGTCTTCAGATGGCTAAATTGCTTATAATTCAGAAATATTTTAAACTCTGCAAAGATTTAATGGCGAAGCTGCTGTAAAGTCTTTAACTGTAAAATTACACATATGTAGTTAATGTGGCAAGGTGAAATATCAGCCAGAGAATAGCTTCACTACTGACAAAATGAGTGGAGAATAAAATTATTTTTTTCCCTGCTTATAGAATTCATTAAATAAATTCAAAGCTGAGTTATCCGTAACAGAAATGTGACTTCTGAACTTAAAGGGTGTCACTATACCCCAGACATACCTTCTGTCCGAGGTCATCTTATTTTTTTAATTCACACAGATTGTAAATCAGTCATGGCAACAAGGACATGTGAAGAGGAGGATCAAAAGAAGTTACTCAGGGCTGAATGAGATCCTGTTCCATGAAAAGTGTTAGATTCTGATAACCAGCCCTAAACTGGTTCTAAATGGATTGTAAGTTTTTTTTTTTTTTGTCTATCTACTTTGGAAGATGAATGTCTTACTGTGGGGAAGGTGGACAAATGTAGCTGGATAAATCACTGTGCATTAAACATGTCTTTCATAACTGCGTTGTTTCCAGGCCATTGCTACATCTGCTGCTCACTAGAACCGTAACAACTCTGTTTTTTAACCATATCAGGTATCAAAAATCATATATGCCCATCTCCTTTTGCAAAGAGGCTTAATTGTCAGCTTCAAACATTTGAAAGAAATCTAAGCTGCTCAAGTATTTCTAGAACTTGCCTACAAAAATGTGATGCTGCTTGAACAGTTGTGTACATTGTGCTGAACTATGCAGATAGGAGGCTCCAGATGAGAACTTTGATAGTACACTGCTAACATGAAATTATTAATTATTCTTGTGACTTTATCCTCTCTGCCACATCCTGCTTCAGAAAAGGAAAATACACAAGTGGAAAAGGCATAAAAGTGAAAAAGGTGCAGACCTTTAAAGCAGGTGGCAGTTGTAGTTGAGGATTTGGAAAGCTAAGGGAGCTCAGAGTTTTGTGTTTATCTTTTTCTTGGTGGGGGGAGAGGTAGTATTTTGTTGTATCTTACCAACAACAAGAAGTAGTAAAGATCCTGATTTTATCGGATTAACAGCTAGGGATAAAAAGAACATAAAAAGCAGAGCATCAGTCCTTTGTAACATTTGCTTTAGATCAGCCCTTTCCTTGTCACGTTTGCAAATGAGCTTTTGACTTGGGCTAAGTCAACAACTCAGCTTCTGCCTGGAACAATTCATCTGAGTCCATGAAGGGGCTATTTCAGTTGTAAACCTGTTCAAGATCGTCACATTTAAGCAAAGCAATGAAAGCACTGTAGACTTTCATGTACAAAATCTTCATCAGTGATTCTCAAATTAATGTGTATCTTTAGTATTGGTGAGGATATTACAATGATCGCTACTAGAATGTTTAAATGCCTTATTTAACATCCTAGTAGAGTTAGACTATTCTTTTCTTTTTTTAAGGTCTCTTCAATATTTTTTTGCATCTGGCTCAATGAAAAATTAAATATCTAAACAAGTTGAAAGAAAATTTGAAATTTTTTTTTTTTAATTATTCTTTAGCAGAGCTTCCCTTATGACTCTGAGGCACTTCTTTGCCACTTGATTCTTATTCTATTCTAACTATAGCTTAAATAAAACCCCAAATATTTTTCTTTACCTTTGTCGGTGGAATCTATTTTGCTCTTTGCTTTGGAGAGGATTAAAAAAGTCTGTTTACTGTTTAACTGCCAGGATCTTGCACACCACTCTGATACTATAGCAGCTCAGCTTTTCTTGTCCGGGAAAACAAACCAACCAAGTGACCAACCAACCTGTAATCAGCTTATCCCAAAGGAGAACAGCATCCTAAATACCGTTTTCGCTCAGTTACACAAACACTGTACACTCAGGCTCTTGGAAATACGTTACACAAAAATACTGTTCTTACCTATTGTGTTTCTGGCCAGATGAGCCCCAGTTCACTCGCTTTCTTTGCTGAAAAAGCGTAAAATAAAACATGGAATTCTCAGATCTCTGTAGACAGATGAAAAACCAAACTGCGCAACCAGTTTAACAGGACAGAACTGTTTTTTCCATATGGCTCTTCGATAGGCATCGTAGTTAGATTGCTTGCCGTCTTTCAAGGGAAGAGAAACAGTTTTGATATTTAGGTTAGGATTTTTCAAAGGTTATTTTCAACTTGTGTAATTCTGCAATCTCCAGACCTCTGGCTGCTGCTCTTTTTGTTCTGGAGCTCCTGGGGGGCTGTGCACCTTCACCCGTGCTTCACCCGACCCCAGGACCTGGCTCAGCTCGCTGTCAGCAGATGCTGAATGCTGGAGCACTGAGCCCAGCCTGGCCGGAGAGCAGAGCAGGGCTCTGACAGAAGCACAGGGAGGGGGGAGACAGGGAGAGCAGTTAACCCTTATTAGTCCACAATTCTGGCCAGCAATGGGCACACCAATTGCCTCCAGAAAATATTTGGCATTAGAGTCTTCATGAAGCAAGTCCATGGGACTTTCTTGCCCTCAGCAGCGAAGCTGTTCAGGATTGTTTCAGAGCTGCTGTGTTCAGTTTTGTTGTTTATGGCCCAACAGGTGCTGACTGGCTCACAGAAGGGAGGGAAGAAAAAGTGTGAGAGAATACTCTGCATTTTTTTGAAGTGGTCTGGAATTAGCAATCCTTTGAAGCCTGTCAGGAATTATTGAACAGAGCTGTGCAGGTTTCTTGGCTTGCAGTGGCTGTATAAGAAACTCCAATGGTGTATGGGCTGTGTTGTGGCTGAGGGTTCATGGGAAACTGCTCTCAGCCAGATAAAGAATTGCTTCTGCAATTGGGGCTGCATAGCAGCTGTAGGGAAGCCTTTGTCACGAAAAGGCCTACTTCTGCTGTGTGAGAGTGGGACATGCTGCTTCTGCTCACTGGCTTCTGGGCCTGATGAGGAGAACTGAGATGTCTCTGCACAGACTTTATCTACTCCAAAGGACAACCCTGGAAAGTTGCGTGAAGTAATCTGCAAGGTGAAAAGACAGAACGTTAGGGATGTCTTTTATCTATTTAAAACTGGAGCTGCTTGTTTGGTGTTTGAACAGTGTGATTTGCAGCAGCACTTTGCTCTTGCCACCCCACGTAGAAGATGTATCATTTAAGCCTTGCTAAGCCTAAAAATTCCATGAGGAGAGGGGAAGCATAAAGAGGTCTCAACAGATTCTGCACAACACAGCCCAAAGAAGACTTAAATTTGCTCATCAGTAGGTATAATGGAGAGAAATATTTATAGTGTGTTTACTATTTCTGTAGAATATGGCAGAGTTAATTTTATTTTTTTCAGCGAGAGTTCCCTATAAATTTAGTTGAGCAATGGGCTTACTGAGCCCATTTGTGTTTTTTTTGTTGTTGTTGTTGTTTTTTTTTTTTTTTTTTTTTTTTTTTACAAAGGGACAGCATGTAGGAATCTTGGTACAGATGCTCCATGATCAGAATGTTGGTGCTGTGGTGCTGATGAGGAACTTTGTAAGATGTTTAGACAGCTAGAAAAAGCAGAACTAAAAAAAAAAAAAATTCAGACAACAGGATAAAGAACTAATGGAGATGTAAACACAGCCAGAAGCAAACCATTCCCCTAAAAAAGAAAACATGAGAGAAAGGTGCTGTGAAATTATTCAGTGACTTCCCTGACTGGGTGTGGAAGAGGGAAATGTAGGTCAGGTGAGGTGCATTGAAACAAGCACGAGAAAGAGTGTTAGCCATAACCTAAGTATGGGGATTGCAGCAAATGTTTTGCTTTGGAAGGACTTAAGTGGAAGTGGACAGCAGGGATTGTTAAGGAGTAACTGGTGGTGTTAAGTAGGAGGATCTTGGGGAAAACTCAAGAGCAGATGTCTCTCATGTCTGGTAAATCACCAGTAAATACAGGCACAGTAGATGGGTTTATTATGCAAGAGATCAGAAGGGTAAGACTCACTGTCTTACCCTTGCAGAGCTTCCATGCTGCTGTCAACATACTCAGAGCATAGGTCAGCTTCCAGGGCAAGCAGTGGGCATCTTTACACTGTTTGTTTTATCTGTTTTAAGCCGAATGCCCAAAGGAGTCCTCTATCTCCTGCTGAATAATATGAACAGAGTTGTCAGGAGAAAGAGGCTGACAAGGTGACATAGCTACGGAGGTATACCAGTTCCTCAGTAGTTTCTCATGCTTCCCATGTATGTGCTTATATGCTTTGCTGGAGCAGGATGTACACTGGTGCATCCAGAGCTTCACTCATATGGTTTCGAAGGAAAAAAAACCAGTATTGTCTACTGGGAAAGTAAGAGCTTGACTTATGGACTATATAGCTTGAGTGAACTCAGTGGCGTTGCAACAGGGATAAATCAACCACTGATTTAGCATACAATTGGTACCACAGATTTCTCAATAGGAAAGATTAGTCTACAGTGAATCTGTTGTGCTTCAGAGCTGAGGAAATAACTTCAGAAAGGCTGCACAAGAGATCCAGTTGTTGTCCCGACCCTGCTGGCCATCAATAAATGCAGGAGATAGCCACTTTTAACATCTAATATGTGAATTATACTCTTTATGTAGTAGCCCTGCTGAAAGATCAGTAATGCTAAAAATGATGGAATTCTGATGGAACAAGAAGTCTAGCTTGAAGCTCTCAAAGACACTTCAGGTGTGTATTTCCAGGAAGAGCAGTCCTGGTAAAGGCTTCCATGAGGCAGAGCAGCATCCTGCAGTCCCTGGCAGTTGTTTCCAGCACTTCCTGCCTGCAGCAGGTTACTTTTTCTGTGGATGCTTTACAGAAGGCTGCTCAGAGTGCCTCTAGGAGACAACCTGCCCAGCCTGACCCATGAAGTTTACCATGTCTTTGCATTTGGCACAGGGAGAGAAAACCTCACCACAGGTCTTCCTGGTGAGAAATTGTTCACGCTGCTAGCTTGTCTTTGATCAGGTTGTTTTCATCAGAAAATGCAAGAGATTAAGGTGTCTTGTTTCTTCCCCAGTACAATGCTCTGAAGCGTGGTAATAGGGCTGCTTGGGATTTCCACCACAGCCCATCTGCATCAGGCCCTGGCTGTAGCCCAGGCTGCTGCGTACACAGATAGCTTCCTTGTGTCCCCAGCCCTGCCCCAGGAGTTCTATTTCATGAAACTCTGTAAGCACATTAAAAGTGCATGGGGAAATAGAAATCTAATCTTTCAGTTATGAGACAAGTAATGTTCTCCTTTCCTGTTCTTCAGATGCTCACATATGCCTATGTCTTTCAAACATCTGATTCAAAATTGATAGTCCTTTGGCTCTCAGCTATGTACCTGTCTAAAAATACCTCTTTAACTAGCATTAACTCCTGTGTTCATAGTTCTGACTGGAGGCAAGCAGCTATGGGTGTCTGACATTTTTGTACATGTTCTGTATTGGATCTGCAGGGGAAATTATAGCATCTAAATAGCTTTTGCATTTTCC